TATATATATATACACACATATAATATAAATATAATACATACAGTATATACATAAATACTATGATATTCCATACATAATACTAAAAGCACACTGGTGTGTGTGTGTGTGCGTGTATGTTATTGAACACATTTACACAAGTGTAACATTTTACAAAACTCATTGCATATAATCCATACGTACAATGAAGACAAAAATATTTAGACTTTCTGGGTGTCAAACATGAGTTGATCATTTTCTGACCTAATACGATGATCTATTACTCTGCCATGACATTTTAAGTGAAACTGACTTAATAGTACATCAACTAAAAATGACCTTGAGACCAAACATCGCAGAAATTGGCTCAGAAAAGTGAAGTCAGTTCTGAGCATCATTTAGTTTATCAATGGCATTCATACATTTTTAACTGTCCAGATACTTTTTCTGGCCACAGTATAGTTTGTTTGTCAACCACTAGCAGCTTGTTTGTGGTCAAATGTTTCAACTTTGCAAACCCACAAACAGGTTATTAACAGGGGAAGTCGTGGCCTAATGGTTAGAGAGTCGGACTGTTATCCCAAAGGTTGCGGGTTCGAGTCTCATACCGGCAGGGATTGTAGGTGGGGGGAGTGAATGTACAGCGCTCTCTACAACCTTCAATACCCCGACTGAGGTGCCCTTGAGCAAGGCACCGAACCCCCAACTGCTCCCCGGGCGCCGCACACCCCCACTGCTCTGGGTGTGTGTTCACGGTGTGTGTGTGTGTTCACTGCTGTGTGTGTGCACTTTGGATGGGTTAAATGCAGAGCACTACTTCCAAGTATGGGTCACATGTCACGTCACATTTAAAAAAATAGTTTTTTTTAATTCTCAGTTTCATACAACACCATGTCTGTAATTACACAAACCACAGTGCTTCACCTGTGTTCCTGTTAAACAGAAAAGCTCCCTCTGATCTGAATGTCCTTTCTTGTTGTCATCTGTGTTTATCTAAACCCGCTGAGGGCTGTTCTATTCTTTGTCACTTCACATCTCGGCCAAATAGCTGGTTATCATCCAAACAGCAGGTCTGAAACAAGCTCTGACAGTCCTTCTCTTCCACACACACGCTCAACACCTGGGAGCAGGCCGTTCCACTTTAATTCTGTTTACAGACTTAGATAATGAAGGTCTGAGAAGTGCTCAAATAGCATAGAGGCCCTTCTTCCCTCTCAGTGCGTCAAAGTCCATTCAAGGTAGGTCAGTGCACTAGATGGCCATCTTTGTAATGCCTTTATTCAGCTATTTTTGGTGCATGAAACACTGGTATCATAAATTTAGCCTCTTTAGCTCATATTAGGGAATGCACATGAGTGCTGAAGTAAACAAACTCAAAATAACCAGCTTTTTTTGACTGAAAGACTGGGGCAAATGAAAAAGGGAAGCTGAAAGATGGAAAAAGAGGAGGTAGAAAAGAATAGAAGAACATTTTTGAGGAAGTACAAGCGGCACAACAAGAACTACAGTGCTCATAAACTCCATTAGCGGATTAGCTGAGCAACTGTCTGGTAAACAAAGACAGATTCAAAATCTTTAATTAAAGAGGATGTGCTTGCTTTGTCGTCTAATGCGGAGTAAACATAATAAAGACGGGCTCCAGTCCTTTTAGTTCGCTCTTCTGTCAATATCCCTTGACAAAGACCATCAAGCCTTTGTGACATTCATTCAGACTGAAGACCAGACAAACCAGCATTTAAGATGTCTGTCTCCAGCTGACACTTTACATGTTGTCACTAAGCAGGCACTTTCAGTACTGGATGCAAAACCTGCAGGTGAATAGTAAAGCTAGTTATTAACAGAAACATTGCTCGACACATGCTGAAGGGATGCAGCTTCGAATCTATTTAGGATAGTCCTGAATATTTTAGAGGCATGAGAGTAAAGAAACCTAATTATTTGGACTATTTTTAATGATAAAATTTCTTGGCAATATTATATTATAGCCCAAAATATAATTTTCTCAAACTTCATAACATTTCTAAAAAAAAAAAACATTGCAAAAACCAGTGATACATTGTGGCCTATAGGGCAATATAGTCAATAAGGAAGCCTCATATAAAATTAATTAAAAACAGTTTTATTCCTTTCCTTTTCATTTTCTCTTTAATCTGACATTTTTAGTTCATTGTTTTTTTTTTACCAGACCTTGATGACATACATTAAAAATCCTGGAAAATTTGTGTAATTTGAGTTATTTAGCTTGTAAATAACAAGTTATTTTGCATTATGCAATGGCACGAATAAGCCCCAGATGTGATTCATGTTTAGTGACAGCCCTGTTCATCAACCTCCTAAAATGGGCAACTGTGAACAGGAAACGTCAACTCAGTGTACGTTCATTTAAAATGTCAAGTTGTAAAACAGAGGTCCTCTTGGTCAGGTTTGGATGGAATGATTTATGGTTTTTCTAACAGTGAAAAGGCAAATGGAGACGCTCTTAGAAACACTGCACGTGTCTTTTTGCTGCTGACTCAGATCCACTGCCTCAGGGAGGAACTGCCAACCAATTATGCCTTCCGTCATATTTCAACACTGAAATGAACTAACTTAACTTGTTCTTATCACAGCAAAGGAAATGACGAAATGATGATCAATATAAAAGCGCACGTCTAAACGAATGTAGGCAGTGATGTTGCAATGAACAGCATTAAAATTCAGACATTACTCTTATTCAGTTCATCATGTCATTGCACTTATATAACTTTCTATCTTCTGTATAACACAAATGAAGATGCTGCGAAAAATGTATCAGTGGTTTTTGTCCATACAATGAAAGTCAACGGAGTAGAAGAAAGAAAGTCATATAGGTTTGATCAACTTGAATTTTTGGGCTCTGCTGAAAAAATGCAGATACAGGGTTCCTAGGAAAGATTATTTGGCATGCAGTGTAATAAGTTAATAATATGTGAGCTGTCCAAAATAGGTACTTTGGTGTATTTTAAGTTACTTTACTTGTACATGCTTTGATTTCATTTGTATGATCAGAAAGCAGCAAATTCTGCATGATTCTATCAAATAAAACATGTGGATGGGTGCATAAAAAAGTGATCTTAAATTTATGAAGTACGTATGGAATCACTGATCTGGCAAGCTGTGCACTTACACTCTACTGCAGAGATTTTTGTTATTCTTGAAAGAAATCCAAGAGTAATGTTTATCAAAGACAGCTGAACCACCATGACTGTAGGATATGACTTTTGACAGAAAAGAGGGACAGATTTAGAAAGAGGCCTCTGAACTTGATGCTGGAGGCTGGTTAACTGCACGTTCACGCGAGAACAGCAGTAAGAAGTGTGTGTTTATGAGAGTTTGAGAGACAGAGAGAAGGGCAAACCTGACACGTGAGAACATGAGTGCGAAAACACAGCTCTATTCGTGGAAACCAGACACACAAAACACACTCCATACTACTTCATGTTTTTAAAGCGCTGAACAATGGCTCTAGAAGGAGAAGAATAAGAATTACACAATTCAGAATTCCTCATTATGGCATCCAGCTTGTTTAAACAAAAACACACATGAGCTGAAAGAATTTAGGGCAAGTTTAAATGCATAAAACGTCACAGATACAGAAACTCCTCAAATGCATGACCTGTATACGTATATAGCCAGTGACCCTGGATGATGTGATGCAATAACTTTACCAACATCTGCAGCCAAAAACTGCAGATCATTCCTGGAACTATTCTGAAACTCAAATAATCCCCCAAAGATGCCGCTTGCCTGTGCTAGTTAAAGTTTAAAATGTCCCAAGCACTCAGCCAATAGAACGCTTGAATTTGCCAATGAGAACAGCCCTTGACACACTGGCTGGTCACAGAGGCAGCTGTTGTTTCCGATTTTCCTCAAATCATAAACAGCTGTTCCAGAAATTTCCTCACAAAAAAGGCATTTGCTAAAAGCCCTTAACCCACCACAGAAAACCCTGGACTAATTTGTCCAACCCATCCAAACAACAACAGAGTTTGTTAAATGAAGCTCAACTGAACAATGAGTTTAAAAGTAGATGCTTACATTTTCTAAAGAAAATTTGAGTGGTGCTTGCTAGAGATGGTTGCTTACTGGCACAATTTTTAAGAACCCCTTCCCAAGTATCTGTGATATTCTGATCCCCATACATGGTTTGGGTCCGGTCTTCAAAACTGATTTATTTGAACAGTTTTCAACCTGTGAGGTGGTATAAAGTCGGATTACCTTTCCTCACACTTCACTTCGTCTTGTCAGTAGGACACTTCAAATGTTTTAAGGTAAAATTAAACAAAACAGTTAAAATGGCAAAAATTGCAGTTCAAATTGCACATATTAAATTTTTATTAGATGTCATTTATGTTCCAGGCAGACATCAAAACTCCTCCCTAACGTGTAAATCTGGGTGAATCTATTTTATAGGAAATTCCACATACCTGTGCCAACAACACAGCTCAAAAGAGAGAGTGTGTGTGTGTGTGTGTGTTCAGGTTCCACACAACTAGTCACTTTCTGATCAGTCACTGTGATCAAGTACAGGACACACCAGCGCCGAAAGTACAGCGCATTTCACCATGTCCTAACTACACTTTATCAGCTTCCAGCCTCAAGTAATTGAAAAATACAGCATTATGTAACAAAATCACAACCAATTAGAAAATAAAGGGTGTTTCATATACAGCTACGATGAGGGCTTTGGACCAATGAAGTTTTACTGTGGGTGGGGCTACTCAAAAACAGAAAACAAAATAATTTGTCACATAGAAATAAGCGGGTCTAACCTGACACAATGATATCATTGCGGAGGGCGCACACTGCATACTCGGACTTAGTGTACTCGGGGTGTTTAGCAAGAGATGTCCACTCTCCCGTCACAGGGTCGTAGCATTCTGTGTACGGCAGATTGAAACCCCCCATTCGCTCACAGCCTCCCACCACCACAATGACCTCAGAGAAACCAGTAGACCTGCAGACAGGGAAAAAATAACAATCTCAGATAAGCATGGGCTTTGAAGTGGTGACATCACCAGAAAGTGGTTAAGCTTCATTCTTTCTAAGGTATAATGAGCTTCCGCTATGATCCATTGGAGAATGAATCCTCTTTCTAGACACTGTCACAAGTAAGAGACCCACATAACATGAGTTTTTTTAGTTCTACAGTAGACAATAAAATGTGTATGTATTTAAACCTACAACAGCATGTGATAAAGTTCTCATTGAGTGTCTGCAGAGCTTGTTTATATGTGTGCAGCACAGAGAAATCTCAGGTCCTGTAGAGTGAAGGAGTGTGCATTTCTAGTTTGTGTTTGGGCTGTATGTGTGCATTTTTAATCACTAAATCATTTTGAAATATGATTTTCAATAAAGACACAGATGTTATGGCTGTCTCTCTGCCAGCAGAGTGGAATGTCTGAAAGCAAGCTCATACATTTTCAACCCCCAATTCAAGATACTGACTCCAAACACAGATAACGCCTCCAGAACACAGATACTGCTTCTAAATACAGATATAGACCCCATATTAGGGTACTGACTCTAAATACAGAAACTCCATATCAAGATACTGCCTCTAAGTACTGATTAAACCTCCCTAAATCTGACTCCTACAAAGATACCACCCTAAAAATACTTCCTCCAAAAACAGTTTCCCTAAATAAATACTGCCTCCAGAACAAGACATGCTGCCACTAAACAAAGACATGTTTTCTAATTCTGAGCCTTTTTTAAAATGGATACTTTCTATAAACAGAAGTACTTAATGATACCAGACGAGTGAGTGTGTAGAAATGGACTATATTTGTTCTGAAGAAAACGTGAGTGGTGCCTGCCCATGCAAAAGTCACTGCCACAATGCCAGGATGTTGTTATGTGGTTGCTAAAGTGTTTTGAGTGGTTGTTAGTGTTGTAGGTGATATTCTGGTAGAGATATGGCATCCCTCCCGCAATGCAATTATTATTATTTTTTTACTGCCCGGTAATCATAAATCTGACAGCTTTAGCTGCACAATTTGAGCTACCATTCGCATAAGAGCAAAAACAAAATGGAGATGATTTATGCGCTTAAGTTACTAAGGTTTAAGCCCAAGTTATACATTTCTTGTTAACAAATTGAGGAGTAACAATGCCCCATGTCTCATCCTCAAAAGTTCAACAGAGTCCATTGAAAACCTGTTTTCAGTTTGTGCAGTTTCACTTTCTCTGTGAATTACATGTAATTTTAGTCCCACACAGGAAGAAGAAATTATTTGTTTTTTTAAGAGAAAATCATCTTATCGGCCAATTTCCGGTCAAAAATGTTTGCGTACCTGCGGGGTCTGGTTCGTGGCGACATCATCTCGTTGCCAAGTACGTGATAGCGACGTGCTTCGTGCAGCAGCTGGTAACATTCTGGAGCATTCTGGATCAATTTATCACCTTCCACCTGCAAAATATTATCACATTCGTAATGCTTGACCTTAATCTGGCTCCCTTATATCTGCCGTCCTGTAGAGTCTTGTGAAGATCTTGTTTAAATAATCTCGTTGCATTACGACAATAAGGAAAGAGCTTTGACTTGGCAAACATCAACACACCTGCCGATAGTTTTCAGGTGAACCCCGAGATCTTGATTAACTGGTTCAAAGAGTGTTTGATTATCATTGGAGCGAAATGCTGCACTCCATCTGTACTCGCAAGTCGGAAATTACGAAGTTCACTGTAGAAACTTTTCACTGGAACGCCCCCTCAAGTCGGAGTTCTGACTTATATACTGTTTATTAACATTTCTGTTAGTCTCAGTAAACTCAGTGGTGCACACAGTACCATCCATGATACCTATGCATTATCTTTTTAAAATATTGCTTTTTAGTGTGTTTTTATCAACAGGTATTGAAGTTTGTTTTCCAACTTGGGTACTGGAACGTGGTCAACTCGGATGTGCATCATTCTTAGCTCTGGCGTCCAACTTCCAAGGTAAATGGAATGCAGCAACACTCTACAACTAGCCAAAGGCCTTATCTGATTCTGTAACTTTAGGACCAAGCCATACCCAAGGTAGAGTTTATTTTCACTTGAGGACACTTTAAGAAACAAACCAAGGCTGATTTTATGATTCTTTGATCTCTATAGAGTGCTGCAGGGATGATGTTTCTTGTGTTCATTTGTGAAGATTATCATGATGAACAAGACATTTATGAACTTTTACATCAACTTCTAAACTTTTGAAAGTCATAAACTTTTGTTGGTCACAGAATTTATTTTCTGCAATAATTCAACAGCCAATGGGAAAAAAATCCCCCTTTCAAGGAACAAAGGGTGATGCTAACATTTGGTTTGGCCTACAAAAATATGTCATCTCTGCAGCACTCTGTAAAGATCTCAGCAGTGCATTTCTGGATTCGTTGAACTAATAAAGAGCTTCTCCACCTGTTCAAATGAATTTGAATGTACCACTCACCGTCTGTACAAAATAGTTTGGGTGCAGGAGAGGCAGTCGGACATGTTGTAGTAGATCTTTCAGCATGGGTTTGCGGTACTCCACGCCATGGTAGACCCAACGCATCACTGCCTCAAACACCACCTCTTCCCTGCCAATGGACAGCTCATCGCTGGCTAAGTATTCCTGCAGTTCATCCTTGTGAAGGTCTAGAAACTCCTCATGCTGAGCAACTTCTGGAAAATTCAACAAGGCGAAAGCACGGCAGCGACTGGCCAGCTGTTTGAGAGAGTGGGCGTCTGCGAAACGCTGGATCCCAAGGCAGTTGCAGGGGTCCAGCTGCTCTTCCAGGAATTTTGCACAAGCATCCCGCAGTGTGGTGATCTGGAAGAGGCTGGAGGTCTCGAAGAGGAACTGGACGTTGTTGGTGGTGATGCAGGCACGACCGGTGTAAACATACTGCAGGAACGTGTCCATAGCATCAGCCTGGATGCCGTTGATCTCCACAAGCATCTCACGGCTCTCTCTGTGGTCGTTGCAGAACATGGCACGGAAGTAACTGCTGCAGGCCGACAGCACGGCACGGTGACATGGGAATTCGCGACCCTGGACGCTTATGATCACGTCCGTGAAGAGGCGGCTGTCGCGGAACTCGTTGAAGACCTGAAGGACACTCTCAGAGTGAGAGGAACCAGAAGAGAAGTTGTACACGTCGTTCAGGGTCTTAGACTCCATCTCAAAGACTTTACGCTTGATTGCCGGTGATTCTGGCACACCACCAGAGTTCTCATGATTCAGACGGCGACCCAGAATGAGCACCATGATTGTATCTGATGAGAGCCCTTCACCAATAAACAATCACTATCAATGGTTGCAGGAAAAGGATTGGTGACCATCAACACCTGTAGAAGAACAGCATTTACAATAAACAAACACTACATTAGTGGTATTCATTTCTGGAGGTCCACCTTCTTGAGATTAACATTACTATCTATGCTGCAACACACCAGTCTGTAATTTTCAGGTAAACCCAAAGACCTGTTTAAGATGTGTTTCAAGAGAACTAAATTGTGAAGGAAATATTGACCTTGTGGCATTTCATAAAGAATGTGGCCAGGCTCACACTTTTTTTCAAGGAGGCATTTTGACCCAGACGTGGAGGCTAAAGGTCAAGTTCATGCTCAAGAGCATCTCAATAGTAACAAGTATTTTGCAAATCTAGCATTATTTGCTAATATATCTTTATTAGATTATTGAGCAGGGATTTTAAGGGATAACAATAGCCAAAAACAATACTTAAATAGTATTTTGACCATTACATTAAATTTATGTACCCCATCTGAGTGGCCTAGTTGAAAATCAGTAGAAAAGTAAAGTCATTTCAGAGGTAAAAAGTTAATATATTTTAATGAAAAACTGAAAACCATCCATTTTGATTTGTTACCAAAAGCAAATCATTAAATAATATACACATTAAATGTACAATTATTATTCATTATATTAAGGAAAATGTGAACTTAAGTGTTATTTTAATTGTATTATGAGTGTTACAGCCTACCAAGGGTCATGATAATCAAAATCAAAAAAGCAAAAAATACAAAATACAAGGTTGAAAAGCAAATTATTGCACAATCATCACAGAAAACAAAGGCACTGAGTTCATAAATATCTGAGAAGGTTACTAGAGCACACTGAAATATGTCAAGACATGTGACTGGTAAAAAAAAAAAAAGATAGAAAAAAGTCTATTCCTCAAGGCAATAGTGCACTGATATAAAAGGAACACTGATTATTTGTGGCTGAGAGATAAAGTGAGTGAGTGAGCGAGAAAGAGGGAGAGTTTGCGCAGTCTTTTTTTTTTTTTAAGTCACTCAGGTTTGTTTTGTTGTGGAAGTAGAAATAAAAGAACATGGATGGTTGCTCAATATTTCCTCCACAGCTGAAACGGGTTTACAGCAAAACATGCCACACGCGGACTGAAATGATGACATCATATAAATGAGATGAATTATGTGTGATTTCTACTCCATAAAAGGCTTTAAACCACAGAGAAAGAATCCCTAAGTGTTTAGAGAGACCATCTTTCTAACCAGCCTGCAGAAAAATCCAGTTTAAGATGACAATTGGTTTTTAGCTGGTCTAAAAAGTCATTAGTTGTTAGAGGCTGGGTGAAACCTAGTCCAGACATTATGTTTCAATAACCATCCCAGCTGTTTTGTTGCAGGTTCAAGGTGATCTACTATAGTCTACCAGAGATTTACAGCAGTTGCAGTTTCTGAATAAACATTCAGTCTCAAAACTTAGAGATGATCTCAATACCACATGCAGAAAATTAAAAGAAATGTTATGAATATATATATGGATATGACCTCCTATATAGGAGGACATTCATTACATTAAACTTCTGGAAAGTTCAAGATTCCAGTAAGGGAATGCATTAGTAATAAGTAATAAGTAGTAATGGACGATTTGATTTGAAAACCGGACGATTTCATCAGAGATGGCGGAGAGAATAGTGACTCGCGTCCAGATGGCAGTAAATTATGCTTTTCAGCGTGTATTTGGCATAAAGGCACAAGTGTTTTATAATGAATGCCGGCTGAAGGTGTTTTAGATTACACACCGGTCAGTGGTTTAGTTATTGTGAATGGATCCGTATAGTAGCATGAAAGTCAGGTTAAGGCAGCAGGTTTAGTGGTCTTTTGGCGTTTCCCTGTGGTCCTGTTTGGTATTGCAGCTTAACTGGTGCTTATTTATATTATATTTGTACAGTATATGTATATATATATATATATACACACACACACACACACACACACACACACACACACACACACACACATTTGGAATTATGAACATTTATTTTTTATAGGTACTTCTTTTTTTCCACTTCAAGCACTGTATTATATACGCGCGCACACACACACACACACACCATGTATATATGCAAATATGTATATGTATATTATATACATTATATATACACATCATTTAGATATAAGCACATATTTAGATATATACATTTAGACATACAAAAAGTGCCATAAACAAACATGGCAATTTCATTGGAGTGCTAATTCTTAATCAATCGTATCGCAATCATTGAAATTGCTCATATAAGAGTTCAGCATTATTTTTCTCACCTTATCCAAAGGAGACCAACTTTCTGCCAGACATCAAATTTAATAGTAAGGGTTAAAGATCCTTAAAAGTAAATACAAACAAACAAATCCGGTTATTTCTAAAAAAAATATATATATAGAGAGAGAGAGAGAGAGAGAGAGAGAGATCCATAAGCGTGAGCACTTGTGCTGTCACTGTTAAGTTCTCTTTGTTACCGTCCTTCTCATAGTCGCTCTCTGCGTGTTCTGGCACAAAGAATGCACACACAGGCTTTGAACTTCTGTTTATGTCAGCTGTTCAAGGGAAATATGTTCATGGGAAATGTAGTTCTGCCGCCGTTTGATCAGTCCTTCAAACCAGCAAAAAAGAACATCATATCCCAGAATTCAGTGCGGGAGAATTTCCATGTGGCTGTCGTTGTTTGCAAACAAAACCCCGATTATGAACGAAGACAGTTTGTGTCGTATTGTTGTCACGGCCAACTTTAAAAGCCTTTTCAACGGTCCCAAAGCCAATAGTGTTGCTTGACGTTAAATGGTTATGTTATTTTGTTAATGAAGAACAATGAATTTAGATTAGAATGCATTGCTAGTTTTACATGTACAACGTGTTTTGTACAGTTCAATAAAATGGTGGTGTTGACACTGCTTCCCTTTCCTTATGTAACTGTAAAAAGACGCCTTGATAAAAAAAAAAAAAACAGGTAGTTCTCCGGACAGATTGAGAGACGGAAAAAAACGTGACGCGTAACTAGAAACTTGATCTCCCTTGTGTAATCAGAAGCATACATAGTTAAAGTATTATTTGTAAATTATAAAATGTTAATTAATTACAGTATATTTAGTAAAAACTATTTGATTTAGTATAATATTATAATTTACAAAAACTCGCCAGCATAAAACTACTAGACGAAATCATCCTTACTAAAAGGCGCCAATAGCGCTATCTTGTGGTTATTTTAACTAATCCTACCGGTGTTTCGCGCGCATTTTTTTTTTAAATTTCAATTACACATATTATAATAATAGCGAATAATAGCTATTTCTGGATCAGGGTTCCATTAGAAAATTTATATATGAATCGAATTTGCAGCAGCAGTGACATTTGTAAACTTTTAATCAGACGAACACATGACAGGAGAGGGAGCACAATGAGGGAGCAAGTTACTTATCTGGCAAGTTTTATTCTTTTTTTTTTTTACAGGAATCTTTCAAATAACGCAAATGTGTATAATACTCATTTTAACATACAGGTGCTCGGTTTATCACGAAATGACAAGAGTTTACATAGATTCGTTTCAGTCAAAATACAATAGTTGCTACAGTATTGTTTCTACGATCAAATAAAGGCCTAGTAACCTGGTTTAAGCCACCGATGTAATCAACAAATAAAACATAACGAGAGATTATCACATCCTCTTACAACATTTGTAAAGCTTCATAGTTATTTCAGATAGGGTTTACAGTAGTAAATCTTATGTATATTTATAACGGTGCTTCTGACTGAAGAAGTATCTGGGAAGGCTGACTTATTGTAGTATTATTGATAGGCTAGAAATAGAGTTTTTAGTACGTTAACCAAAATACATAGTGAATACCCAATATCATATTAAACACAATAAACGCCATCATTACCACAACTGCTGAATGTATATTTTTGATTATTCTCACATATTTTTGTGACGTCATATTATTACTTACAAAACCCCATTTGAGCATCAAATTACAGACAGCTAATTTTATGTTTTAACTGGTTGGTAAAAAGTTCAGCAACACCTTTTTGAAAGTCTTTTTCACAAGTTCAAATAAGCATATTTATATCACAGGTGTGATAGTAGTTGGCCTATTCAGATGAAAGAACTGGAACAGCAAGTTGCACAGTTCTCTATAGCGGAGCCCATACAGGTATGGGGCTAAGGTTTTGGGCAGGATGAGTAAGACGTTACACACCACCAGGGACATCCACAGGCTTGCTTTGGGGTCCATAGTCTCACTGTTGTGGCAAAGCATCAGCTCGATCATCAAAACTAGCAGGGGACAGAAAGCCAGGAACAGGTGCAGATAATGGATGAGAAATGTTCCTCTAGCACGAGACGAGGTCTCACCCTTCCACACGCCCGAACTACGGGTACAAAAGTAGAGGATGAGGTAACCAGACAACACTAGAAGGAGGATGAAAATGATACCTGTGACCGTCAGCAGCATGGAGACATGGAGTGGGCGAAAGTGGCTTACGGTCAAAACCATCAGCAAAGGAAGGGAGCAGAGGTGGAGGGTGCAGGGGGCCGTACTATGGTACCACAAAAACATGCCAACAGCTGCTGCAGGAAGAAAGACAGAGATGACCCAGATGGCGACAATTGCTCCGTAGGTCCGTGACACAGGCCACAGTGCCAGGTAGCGAAAGGGGGCTAACACTGCAAAGCAGGTATCCAGTACCATTGCTGTAATGCTTAGTACCCCAGAGCTGTATAAAACCGCAGAGAGGAAGAGCAGCACAGCACACGGCCACTCCGTCATCAACACACCGGCTAAATTGATGCAGGCACTCAGGATGTTCATGCAAACAAAGAGCAGGTCACTGAAGAGAACATTGGCCAGGAGGAGGTAACGCGTCTGCTGCCGCAGGTCAACTCGGGACAGGATGCGTACTAGAAGAACCGGGGTGATCAGCAGAATGGCCAGGAAGGCCAAAATGGGGCACAGCTGAAGCACCTTCATGTGGCAGGGAGGGATGAATCCATGCCACTCGTGCGCGAACATCTCCGCTGGGCTTTCAGAGGAGTTAGAGAACTTAGAAGAACGTATGTGAAGCTCAGCTCGACCCGACTTGTTGTACCAATTGCCAAACGAACAAAGCAGAGATAAAAAAAGGTCTTCTGCAGCTAGGTAGAAACGCTCCGACTTTCCCTCCATTAGAGTTTCCATCTCTTGGCATGTGTTTGTGCGTCCAATCCAGGGCTGAAGGTAAATGTGTCTCTCCTTCCCCCTTCCTGCAGACTGTGGTAAGTGATTTATGGGACAGATGTGGATTTGTCACAGGCACACTTGTAAATGGTTTCCATGGAGGAGGAGAAATGGGTAAATATCACTTCACAGCTAAATGGATCAGAATGACACTCAGGGATTTTGCACCTAGGCATAAATATTGATATGTCTTCCTAGAATCAGAAGTATTGCTTAACATTTACACTGTTATTTTTGGACTGATTGATTGTTTAACTTAGAGGACTAAGTGCCACACAGGTTAAACACTGAACGCTTATAGGAAATTGGAGAAAGACACAATCGTGTAAAAATCCTGAAATGTACATTTATTTATCTTGCCAAGAGAACAAAACCGCATTATCGACCACTGCTTTGCACACAAGAGTTTGAATCAATATTGTGGGCATGCATAACAACATATGAAGAGTTAATTTGCAAAACCCGATAAACGCCAAAAAAAAAAAAAGAAGAGCTAATTGCCATGCATTATTCTCCACATATAGCGCGATCAAAAAAGCCGGTTTTGTCCACTTTGAAGGCATCGCAAGTTCACGTTTTACTGCAGAAGCCGACAAGCGCCCTTGTTGTTTTTGAACAGAAGCCGATAAGTCCATTTGAGCGAATCAGCGCGCTGTATTCATGTCAGGTGACAAGGCTACTTTCACTTTGAAAAGACGTGCTAGCTGAGAGGAGTTTCGTCAAAGCTGACTAAAAGTGATCGAGGATGGGTCATTTCGATGAACTTGATGAACCTGTGATATCTTCTTTTCGGGGCGAAAAGGAAAATAAAAGCTTGTCGGGCATCTACATCTGAGGAGATTACAAAGTTTAAACTAGTGTTTTTTTAAAACTATAAAACACGAAATGTGCAGTTATCTGCTTTTGCTATAAAACTAAATTTTCATATGTAAAAAAAAATGTGAATTACCTGTATTTGTTTAAGTTACTATTACTTAATCAAAACAAACCAACTGCAGTTTGATTGATATTACTTGGAATACGCAATAAAAAGTGATTTCTGGAAAAAAATAAATAAATGGAGTTATCGGTTTTTGCAAATGAACTCTTCATATATCCTCCTGAAAACCAGAAATAAAAAGCTTTGTGAATTTAGTATTTTTTCATGTCATTACATTGTTTAGAGCATAAGAAAAAAATGATAAAATAACATTATTGAAAAATTATATTTTATTTTTATGTTATGCTATGTCCTCTGTAGACAAAATTTTCTAAAAATAAAATGACAAGAGTAGACATGAAAAGGCAAAAACTCCATAGCTGGGTCTCAGGAGGATATAGCTGGGTAAATCTCACAATGAAAGAAAAAGAAAGAATATAAAAAATATATTTTGCATGAATAAAATTAAGCCCAATTTATGAACTACTGTTATTATTATTATTTGTAATTAAGTCTTAGTGACATTTCTTTGCGAGATTCACCCAGTTGCACTTTATGTAGTTATGTTATGATAAATAACAGCACATATCACTCAGTTTTTAGTTTAAATATGAAAATATAAAAAAGTTCAAAACATTCTTTATATACATTCATGTTAAAATGCTTTAATAGAATGTACTAAAATTAATACTAAAATATAAAAAGTTTCTTTTGAGATCTCTTTCTGGCTCAGGTGTCTTTTAAATTCCCTCTTCTGCAAATGAATCCTCCAACGACAGAGCAACCAGATACAGTTATTTTGCAGGCTTGCTCTGCTTCAAGTCCAGTTCTAGGCTGCACTCCTCTGACTTTGGTGTCGCTTCTTCCAAAACAGCTGCTGGACAGTCTCGTAAATCTCATGATAGCGCAGGATGTACAGGTAAGGAGTGCAACAGCGTGGCAACAACATCAACACGCACATGTTCACCAAGTTAATCCACACTCCCACAACATCTACGCTTTCTTCCTTTAAAAGAGCCAGCTCCACGGCAAAGACCAACGCGGGTACAAAATACATCATGAGCAACAGAGTGTGTGCCAGAAGTGTCATACGCGCCCGGGAGTACCGACTACGCCATATCCCAGAAGTTTTAGTGATGATGTAGAGATGGATATAACAGTACACAATGAGAACAGTGCAGAGGCTGATGGCAATGATGAAGTACAAATGAACGCCAACCTTCATCTTGTGTTCCAACGAGTGCAGTGCAATCAACATCAAACACACTGGACGCCTCTGCTTGTCACTGCCCATCACCACCTCAAACATCACTAGCAAAGAGACGGGACACACTGCGGCCATTACCCACAAGCTCA